AAAAAAAAAAAAAAAAAAAAAAAAAACAGACATTAAGTCAAAAACTGTAAAAAGAGACAGAAAAGGTCACTGTACTGTGGTCCCTCAGTATACATGGAGGATTTGTTCCAGGACTCCCAATCTATACCAAAATTCATACACAGTCAATATCACAGTTGGTCCTGTGAAACCCACAGATATAAAAAGCAGGCATTCTGTATACTCAGCTTTGTAGCCCATGAATACTATATTTTTTGTTGTTGTTGTTCACATGTGGCTAAAAAAAAATCATGCAGTTCATACCTGTGATGTTCAAGGTCAACTGTATAATGATAAAGGGAGAGAGAATATCACGATTCTAGATATAATTACACCCAACACTGGAGCTTTTTTTTTTTTTTTGAGATGGAGTCTCACTGTTACCCAGGCTGGAGTGCAGTGGCGCAGTCTCAGCTTACTGCAACCTCCACCTGCCAGGTTCAAGTGATTCTCCAGTCTCAGTCTCCCAAGTAGCTAGGACTACAGGTGCCTAGCACCATGCCTGACCTTTTTTTTCATATTTTTAGTAGAGTTGGCCAGGCTCGTCTCGAACTCCTGACCTCGTGATCTGCTCGCCTTGGCCTAATCCCTCTCAAAGTGCTGGGATTACAGGAGTGAGGCAACCCCAACTGGCCTGGAGCATTTTTATACAAATCAAATATTATTACACCTAAAGGGATAAATAGACTCCAACACAGTAATAGCTGGGGACTTCAACATCCTACTCTCAGCACTGAACAGATCATCTAGACAAAAAAACCAAGAAACATTGGATTTAAAATGTACTTCAGACCCTAACAGACATTTACAGAACATTTTATCCAACAGCTACAGAATATACATTCTTCTCATCATCATATGAATAGACCATATGTTAGGCCACAAAACAAATCTCAACAAATGGAATAAAACTAGACATCAGTAACAAGAGAAACTCTGGAAACTGTAGAAACACATGGAAATGAAAAAAAAAAAAAAAAANAAAAAAAAAAAAAAATGCTCCTGAACAACCACTGGGTCAGTGAAAAAATTAAGAAGGAAATTAAAAAAATTCTTGAAACAAATAAAAATGGAAACACAACAATAACAAAAACAATAATAGAAGAAGTGATAACAGGGACGTTTGTAGCAATAAACACCTACATCAGGAAAGTTGAAAGATTTCAAGTAAAGAATCTAAAGATGGGCCTCAAGGAACTAGAAAAGCAAGAAAAAACCAAACCCAAAATTAATAGAATAAGAAAGATCATAGCAAAACTAAACAAAATAGAAACCAAAAGGTAATAATAATACAAAGGATTAATGAAATAAAAAGTTAGTTTTTTGGAAAGGTAAACAAAACCGATAAACTGTTAACTACACTAACCAAGAAAAAAATGAGAGAAGACCCAAGTAAATAAAATCAGAAACAAAAAAGAAGACATTATGACTGATACCACAGGAATACAAAGAATCAACAGAAATTATTAGAAACAAATTGGAAAACCTAGAGGGAATGGATATAATCCATCTAGATGGAACCAAAAAGAAATTAAAAACTGAACAGACCATGAGTAACAAGACTGAATCAGTAATAAAAAGTATTCCCACAAAGAAAATCTCAGGACTGGCTGGCTTTACTGCTGAATTCTTCCACACTTAAAAAGAAGAATTAACAGCGATCCTTCTCAAACTATTCCAAAAAATTGAAGAGGACTGAATTTTCCCTAACTGATTCTATGAGGCCAGCACCAGACAATGGCACAACAAAGAAAGAAAACTACAGGCCAATATCCCTAATGAACATAGATGCAAAAATCCTAAACACAATACGAGCAAACTGAATCAACAACACATAAAAAGGATAACACATCATGAGCAAGTGGGATTTATTCCAGTGATGCAAGGAAGGTTCAACATATGCAAATCAATTGATGTGATACATCACATCAACCAAATCAAAGACAAAAACCTTACAAAACCTTATGATCATCTCAATAGACACAGAAAAAGCATTTGATAAAATTCAACATCTCTTCATGATATAAACTCAACAAAGTAGGTATAGAAGGAATACACACATTTCAACATAATAAGGGCCATATGCAACAAACTCACTGGTAAATTTGTACTGAATGGGAAAAAGCTGAAAGCCTTTTCTCAAGAAGTGGAACAAGACAAGAATCCCTACTTTCACCATTCTTATTCAAAATAGTACTAAAAGTCCTAGCCAGAGCAATCAGGCAAGACAAAGAAATACAAGGCATCCAACACTGAAAAAGGGAAGTCAAATTGTCCCTCTTTGCAGATGGCATGATCTAAAAAAACCTAAAACTCACCAAAATCTCTTAGAACTGACAAAAGATGTAAATGAATAGGGTTATTATAGAAAACAGTGTAGAGATTTCTCAAAAACTAAAAACACAGGTTACAAAAATCAGTACTGTTTCTATATACCAGTAACAAACTGACTGAAAAAGAAATCAAGAAGGCAGTACCATTTACAATGGCCACCAAAAAAATAAAAATAACAAAAATCTAAGAATTAACTAATGAGGTAAAAAACTTCTACAAGGAAAACTATAAAACACTGATGAAAAAAGTTGAAGAGAACACAAACAAATGGAAAGACATCCCATGCTCACGAACTAGAAAAATTAATATTGTTAAAATGACCATAATACTCAAAGCAGTCTACAAATTCACTGCAAACTCATCAAAATACAAATGACATTCTTCACAGAAACAGAGAAAACAATCCTAAAATTTTAATGAATTCACAACAGGCTCCAAAGAGTAAAGCAGTACTGTGCAAAATGAGCAAAGCTGGAGGCATCACACTACCTGACTTCAAAATAGATGAAACTATAGTAGTCAAAACAGCATGGTATTGGTATAACAACAGATACAAAGACTAATGGAACAGAATAGAGAAACCAGAAATAAATCCACATATTTATAGCCAAATGATTTTCAACAATGGTGCTAAGAACATAATTTGGGGAAAGGATACCCTCTTCAATAAATGGTGGTGGGAAAACTGAATAGCCAGTCATACGCAGAAGAATGAAGCCAGACTCCTATCTCATACCGGATAAGAAAATCAACTCAAAACAAACTAAATACTTAAATTTAAAACCCCAAACTATAAAAATACTAGAAGAAAGCACAGGGGAAGCACTTGAATTCATCTAAGCAAAAACTTTATGGCTAAGACCCCTAAAGCATAGGCAACAAAAACAAAAAACAGACAAATAAGATTATATTAAACAAAAAGCTTCTATACAACAAAGGAAACAATCAACAGAGTAAAAAGACAACCTGAAGAAAATATCTGCAAACTATTCATCTTACAGGAGGCTAATATCTAGAATATATAATGAATTCAAACAACTCAACAACAAAAATAATTTCATTAAAATATGAGCAAAGGATCTCAATAGACATTTCTCAAAAGAAGTCATATAAATGACCACCTGGTATATGCAAAAATGCTCAGTATCACTAATCATCAGAGAAATGCAAATCACAACCACAATGAGATATCATCTTATCCCAATCAGAATGACTACTATCAAAATGACAAAAAATAAATGCTGGTGAGAATGCAGAGAAAAGTGAACTCATACAGTGTTGGTGAGAATGTAAGTTAATAGGGTCATTATTGAAAACGGTACAGAGATTTCTCAAAAAAACTAAAAATACAGCTACCATAAGATCCAGCACTCTCAGTACTGGGTGTTTACCCAAAGCAAAGGAAATCAGTATACCCAGGGGTTTCTACATTTCCATATTTATTGCAACACTATTCACAATATACAAGATACAGAATCAACCTAAGACACCATCAATGGATGAATGGATAAAGAAAATGTGGTAAATGCACATAATAGAATAGTATGCAGCCATAAAAAAGACTGAAACCTGTCATCTGCAGCAGCATGGATGGGACTGGAGATCATTACGTTAAATGAAATAAGTCAGGTACAGAAAGACAAATACATTCTCTTATTGCTCATATATGGGAGCTAAAAAAGTTGATCTAATGGTGGTAGAGAGTAGAATGATAGTTACCCGAAGCTAAGAAGGTTGGGGAATGGGGGTGAGGATGACAGTGGGATGAAGAGATGCTGGCTAATGGATACAAATATAGAGCTGGATGGAAAAAATAGGTTCTAATGTTCAATAGCACAGTAGTATGACTATAGTTAACATAATATACTATATATTTCCAAATACCTAGAAGAGGCTATTTGAAATGTCTGCAACACAAAGATAAATGTTCAGGGTGATGTATAGCCTAAATACACTGATTTGAGCACTACATACTACATACATTTAACAAAGTATCACATGTACCCCATAAATGCAAGTATTATGTATCAATTTTAAAATTTAAAAGAAAAGAAATAGGGAGCAAATCCAAAGAAAAACCAAGGAATGGCTAGTCTCTTCCAGAAATACTGTTTTTCAACCATCACTTGCTGTTGTGTATTTCAAACATTAAAGCCATTACACACCATCTACCAGCCATAAATCAAATATGAAAGCCTGTAACCTGACAAGTATGATTCAAGGAACAATGTGAACTTCAATAGTCCCTTCTGCCCTTGTAAAGGTAGCTGGATCAAGAGAACTTGGTTAAAGACAATATTATATTAGATCAGATACCTACCATTGCTCACCATCCGCCTGGCCACTTCCCACAAAACAAGTCCAAAGGCCCAAATATCGACCCTTTTATAAGAATCGAAACAATCCACCTGGATGGTTTCATCTAGAACTTCGGGGGCCATGTAGCGCTTCGTGCCCACACGGGGATTGTTCCCCACATCAAGCTGATTGGTGCTCTGGGAATGCATGACTGCCAAGCCTGAAAGAAAGAAGATAACAATGTAACCAACTCATTTCCTTTCTCATAAGAGGCTGCTGAAGGATTTTAAACAAACCCCAATCAAAAGTGCCCTCTTGTGGACCCAGGGTCACTGTTGCGTTACACTCAGAATAATCCCTAGAGTGCCCTTTGTGATTATTTCTGGGGGGAGAGCAGAAAAGCGACTAACTGTCAGAAACATTCTGAGGCTATTAGGTTAATATATGAACCTGTAAGAGACAAAAAGTTTTGGGTAAATGGTAGACCAATGCACTAAGCCAATATGTGGCCAGTGTTTGAAGTCCACAGGAAAACAGGCTCACATATTAAATGTGAGCCTCAAACTGGCTTAACAAGAAGCAAATTAAGCTCTCGAGTTCCACCACTGCTCTCACTAGTCTCCAAACACAAATTTCCAACAGTGTGAGATAGAGTATTTGAAGTAATTTATCACCACATAAAGGGCAGACTGTTATAAGCACTGCTTTATTCCTAAAGGAAGAGCTGCTTATCTGAGCAATAATGCCGACCAAACCCACAGGCCTTTCTCTAGAATCATGGAAACACAGAGCATTTAACTGGACCTCAATTGAAAGCACAACTCTCAGGTTAAATGGCTTTCAAATGCTTTCTTAAAGCATGACTCATTCCAGAATTCCTCAGTCAATTAGGGAATGGGCCTTCATCACTGGCCAGCGGGGACAGACAGATACATGCATGCTTTGAGGATGATTTTATGTTATTGATGCATAGGCAGATTGACTGAAAATGATTCCTATAACAGTTGTTGTAATGAAAAGTGCTGAACTGGAACAAGCAGTCCCTGTAAACCACTGCAATCCAAGTATCCCTTGGGGATCTCTCAAGCCATCTACAGAGAATGCTTCACCTTCCACTCCATGGCTTCGAATGAAGGGCATGACAATTTCATATAACATCAGGGAGTTAGCACACCTCATCTCATCCTTAACCATTAGCAAATATACTGGAATTGCATTCAACTAAAACAGGTTCCTCTTTCCTCTATTTTTATAATCAACCCCAAGAATCTATGGATACTGTGAACATTTCCCAAATCCTATGCAATAGATTCCCTTATCCTTCAGTTACCCACAGTTAACTGCAGTCCAAAAATAGGTGAGTACTGTACAATTAAGATATTTTGAGACAGAGAGGCCATATTCACATAATTTTATTATAGCATATTGCTATCATTCTTCCATTTTATTATTACTTATTGTTCGTCTTTTACTGTGCCTAATTTATAAATTAAACTATAATAGGTATGTAATAGAAAAAAACATAGTATATATAGAATCTGATACTATCCTGGGTTTCAGGAATCCACTGGGAGTATTGGAAGGTATTCCCCATGAATGAGAGGAGACTTCAATACACCCCTTCACCATTTCCAGAACCAAAGAGTCTAAATACCAGAATATGTAAAAGGTGCAGTTTAAATAGAACATGGAGATATTCTGAAGATGGGAGAAGCTTCAAAGAACTTGTGGACACATTTTAAAGCCACCACAGCTAGATTCTCCAGGTGAAGCATAATTCCCCATCCCCTGAGTGTATGCTGGACTATTGAATAGAATATGGCAGAAGTGACAGTGGGTATCTTCACAATTAGGACATAAAAGGCATTATAAAATTATAAAAGACTTACTGTTTGTCCCTCTCAGCTCACTCACCATGCACCATATATAAAGACACTCAAGCAGCCCTATGGAGAGGTCTCACTGCAAGGAACTGAGGCCTGCTGCCAATCATGGCTGTGTGTCGTCATAGAGTTGGATCCTCCAGCTCCGGTTGAGCCTTCAGATGACTACAACCTCCATGAGACCTTGAGCCAGAACCATACTGCTAAGTCATTCTAAGATTCCTGACTTTCAAAGGACTGTGTGAGATAACAAATCTGTGTTGTTGTAAGCTGCTAAATTATACAGGTAATTTGTTCTTAGTAATAAATAATTTTTACACTAAAGATGACAAAACAACCAGATGCAATTTGTAAACCATGCCTGAGTTCTTTTTTGAAAATACTGGAAATATTTGAAAATGAACATCAAATGATACTAGAGAATTATCAAGAATCTGTAGATATGATAAACCAATTATGCAGATGATGGATTTTAAAGTATTTTCAAGGGATGTTATTTGGAAGTACTGAGGAGTAAAGTGTTGTGATGCCTGTAACACTTTATTTTCAAACGGATTGGCAAAACTATACACACAACCACAGACTGATAAAGCAAACCTGACAACGTTTTAACAATTTTTGGATCTAGGTGTTCAGAATTTAAGTGATCATTATAACATTTGAATTTTTTAATAATAAGTTAGAAAAATAGGTGAGGCACAGTGGCTCACATCTGTAATCTCAGCATTTTGGAAGGCCAAGATGGCAGTGTCACTTGAGCTCAGGCGTTCAAGATCATCCTAGGCAACATAGTGAGACCTCACTTCCTAAGAACAAGAAAAAAGTTAGCCAGGTGTGGTGGTGCACATCTGTAGTCCCAGCTATTTCGGGACACTGAGGCAGGAAGATTGCTTAAGCCCAGTAGATCAAGGCTGCAGTGACCTATGATCAGCCTGGGTAACAGAGTAAGACCCTCTCTCAATCAATCAATAGAATACTGACCTTTCAGCAGGATTAATCATAGAGCACTACTTCTAATAAGTGATGCTTAATTGCTAGGTATACACTGAAAAATTATATACAAATTATGGTCTTAGAGTACTGCATTCTTTACCATATCCTGAATAATAACTCCTTAACAGATTTTTATACAAACCCATATATCTAATTGGAAGGTTACAAGCCAAAAGAAATACAGTTGAAGAATTAATTAGCTGGACTTACTGCAAAGCTCCCCTCAACTCCTTCCCCACCAAGTCCCATAAACCAAAACCAAGAGCTGCCTCAATTTTGTCCACCCTTCCCAGACCACTGGATTATAACAGCAGCTACAACTTGAATCCTTATAATTTGCCAGACATTTATAATATTTCTAAGCCTTACCAGAATCCTGTGACGTGGGCTTCATAATTTTTTAGTTACATGAATAATATATGATCACACTGTTATGGAAGTTTCTAGCAATGCAGAAGTACAGGGCACAATGCCACGCCCTGGAATTCCTCTTGGCTAACTCCCAGCCCCACCCGCCTTCGCCCTCACTGTCCCTGTCTCACTGAGGGTAAGCAGTGCCAGCACTTGGGCCAGGTAAATAGATAAATAGACTTGCACAAAAATACAGGGTTAATAATTGAGAAAGCCAGAATTTAAAAACAAATCACCCTGGCTCTAAGAGCCATGGAATAAGCCATAAAAGACCTCTCCACCACAACTAAGAATGCCTGCAAAAAATTTTAGGGCCATGCTTTTTCGATGCTTATCCTAAAATCTTTCTTCTCCTACTTGGGAAACACTGTAATTTCTCAATATAAAAGCAAAGACTTTAAAGGGATCCAAAGTAAGTAAATTTTCCTAACACGTGAAATCCCTTATGTTTAAAAACAAACAAAAATAAATAATTATGTAAATAACTATTTACATAATTAAAGCTATTTTTGTCTAAACCTTTATCAGTCTAACAATAATTTCGATAATATGAATATCACATAAACTACATTTAATCAAGTAGAAGGCTCTGAATAGTCCACTGAATTGAATATAGTTACTACAGTTCAGTTCTCATTAGCACAATTATTCAACCAATATTCTAGGAATCCAGGATGAATGTGGTTTTATATAAAATGCCACTATAAATGAAAATACTCTTATTTATAATGCAATTAAAGCTACACTGAGTACCACTCTAACACCATAAGAATGAACTATCCTAACAGGAAATAGAGTGAGTCAGTTTGGGGATTATTTTCCTATTTCTTAACTTGATTCTTTTCCCTTGGTTACAGAATGATTTTAGACACCACTTTTAAGACAAACTAATTCTACAGAGTATTTATTGTGCACCTACATCATGTGAAGGTTTGCGAAATCAGAATGCAACAGTATTGGTTACCTCTGAGATGGCGTGTGGCAGGGACTGACTGAATGAGCTTGAAGTAACTGTCAACAGTAATGGGAAACTGTATCTCAACAGGGGTTTGGGTTTTACAGCATTTGTCAAAACTCTCAGAAGGTACTTAAGATTTGTATATCTCACAGTATATAAATTTTACCTGAAAAAAGAAAAAGCCAATAATGCACTCTTGTCAATGATATACTAGTGTGCATGTTGAAATCATTAGAAGAAAGGATTCCTTTGTCTGCAATTTACTTTGAACTCTATCAAAGGCTGAGATGGACTGATGGATGGGGAGGTGAATAGATGGATAAATACATAATAATGCTTAAGGATATAAAATGTTAATGTGAGAATCTATGTGGTGGGTATAAAGGTATTCATTGTAAACTTTCAACTTTTCTGCATGTTTAAATTTTTCATAACATGTTGTGGGGGAGAAATATAACTCAGCTAAACATTGAAACAAAAGTAAAACTGGTAACGAAAAAAATATTTTTAGAAATTTACCCAAATCTGCTATGCAACACTGTCCATTCTTCTTAACCAGAATATTTTTGCTCTTTAAATCTCGATGGGCAATGGCCGGTTTCCCTTGGGTCCCAAATATCTCTATGTGCAAATGTGCAAGACCACTAGCTATGGACAGCACTATTCGAAGGCAGCTAACTGTATCCAGAGTAGTAAGCTGAAGATAGTCATACAAAGATCCCATTTCATGATAATGTGTAATTAACCACAGCTGGGTACTGGAGTGTCTTGATGTCATGTCTGAAGCAATAAAACCTGGAGAGAGCAAGAACAAAATTAATACACATGAGAATTCCACATTATAACTTTAAGTATTTACAAACAGTGCCTAGCAGAGTAAATGCCATCTGTAACAAAAAGCAACTAAACTGATCAATTTCCATAAGAGGGGGTTTACAGAAGCATCAACAGAGAAAAATAATAGCACTTATTCGTTACAAGGGCACTGCTAATAAATGGGAAATTTTCATATTCATTTCATTGTAAGTAACATTTTAAAAAATATTTCACATTCCTCAAGAGTCAGATAGCAATAATATCTCTGTGCTCACTCATAATGACAGTGCCAAGCCCTTCAGCAAGTTGATATTTCAGGAACAGACCATTCATCCGCTCTCCTAAAAGAACATCAAACCTAAAACCTCAATACTGTATTCTAGTCCTGACACTGCCTGTGATTTACTTGTGTAATACTGGGCAACTCAGTTAGGCTCCCTAGCCTACGTCGGCTCAGATGTGAAATAAAGGGGGTGAGTTTACATTAAATCATTGATTCACCAAATACAAAAAGTAACCAACCAAATATAACGAGCATTTATGATACTCTCTGTCAATCACACACAGAAAAACCGAGATGATAGTGTTTGTTGGCTAAAGACAGATGTAAAAATGAAAAAATTACAAAAAAATGTGAAAAGTACTATAATATATATCTTCAAAGGGCAATGTGAGCCCAGAGCAGGAAATTATAGTAATTCAGACTAGATGTTACAAGAGGCTTCCATCAGGAAGTAGCAACTAAACTGATCTTGAAGTGAAGTGAGAGACTGACATATGTGGATGAAGAGGTTGGAAGATACTTTTCTTTCTTTGTTTTGAGACTTAAGTTTCACTCTTGCTGCCCAGGCTGGAGTGCAGTGGCGTAATCTCAGCTCACTGCAACCTACGCCTCCTGGGTTCAAGCAATTCTTCTGCCTCAGTCTCTTGAGTAGTTGGGATTACAGGCACCTGCCACCACACCTGGCTAATTTTTCATATTTTAAGTAGAGATGGGGTTTCACCATGTTGGCCAGGCTGGTCTCAAGCTCCTGACCTTGGCCTCCCAAAGTGCTGGGATTACAGGCATGAGCCACCATGCCCAGCCCAGAAGAGATTTTTTTCTAGACATTTGGAGGGAACTTTTCAGCATGCACAAGATTGTCTGGAAGTTAGGGGCACTTCCTATCTTATGAAATAAATTGTGACGTGTGCTTGCCTTTTCTGCTACAGAGGTGCCTTTCTAGGATTATTCTCACATATATGTACCACGCTGGTAGACAGTGAAGCTCGGGACTTAAAAAGAGGTGAGAAAAAAAATTTTTTTAAAGACAGATATGGCTTGAGGAAAAATTAAATGACTTATGAAAATGTAAGAGAAAATACATTAAAATGCTTTATACTTGCATAGTACTTTATATAAAATTTATGTCACTTTCACATATATTTTCTCATGAGATTTTTCTCAACAAGCTGGTAAGATAGACATCATTATGCTCATTTTACAGATAATAAAGTTGCTGCTGGGAGATGCCAAGGATCACACAGCTATTTAAGTTGCTATCAGCTCTGAATTTGGTGCTAGCTTTTCTGACACCTTGCACAGGAAGGCTCTGTAAGCCAAGAAAGGTCCCCTATTCGATCATCATCATCTTCATTATCAGCAACCACAACAGAAGCAGCCAATAATTATTGAGTACTGAATACTAAGTGCCTGGAACTTTATATGCAATCCTCCAAAAACCACACAAAGTAGGTAGGTCACACCACCGGTAGTAAGTCAGTAATGTCCCTGTAGGTCTGATTCTAGAAACCCAGGATCTTACCAACTATGCCATAGTGTCCCCAGACAAACTGATTTCTACTCAGAGGAAAAAATAATGTGATATTTTCACCTAAGAGACATATGCAAAGCAAACTGAAAAATATTTCAGCACCTTCACCCTCTACCTCTTTCTCTCTCTTCCTCTGAGCCTATTCCCATGGCCAGCCCTGAGTCTCCCACTCCTTCCCTACTCTCCAATCTGCTTTTTCCCCTTGAAGCTGTTTCTCTTGGAGCCCTTAGCTGGCCATAATATGAATCAAAATGTGTTCTTGGACATCAGGTATTCTTAATAAAGAAAATATTTTTGCTTTAATCGTTTAAACCAAATACTACTAATCTTTAATGATTTTCTCAAAAATACCCCAAACTCTAAAAGCACCACTCAAAAAGAAATTAAGTTACCGTTCTATATGTGTGTGGCCTCTACTGATTTCTTCCCCCAAGAAAGAGAAGCTTCTGATTAAATAAATTTAATAAACAAATACATTTTTATTCTCTTACCTTCGCTAAGTCCCTTAGGTCTTAGGGAAGAATTTTATCTGTCACATTAATTATGCTCTAGATCATCAGGAAAAAAATTACTTTTAAATAAGCAGGGTTTTTTTTTTTTTTTTTTCAACTGTTTATCGCTTAAGTGTGAATTATATAGCTACAATGCAAAGGCACTTTTAAAGAATGTTTGTGTTTTGAGTACAACACTGTGGTTAAGAGTTAGGCTGCCTGGTGGGATTCCCACTTCCACTATTTAGCCTCTCTGTATATTGGTTACTACAACATCTAAAACTGGGAAAATAAAGAGTACCTATTCTCTTACGGTTGTGGTGAAAGTTCCATGAAAAAAGGCACATAATGTACCTAAAGCAGTGGTTACTGCGTAGTAACTATCCATTACACGTTTGTTGTTGCTGCTGTCACGATTCTTGTTTACACACAGACATTTAACTGCAACACAAGGCAGTGAGCGATAAGAGTTAGAGCACAGGTAAAAAGTGAGGGAGTGCAGAAAAGCACAATTGCTTCCACTGGGCAAAACTAAAACGGGGCTGAGAGGTTTTGACGGAGGAAGGAATGGTTAGAGGATGTGAAAGGGAGAGTGAGTGATCAAGAGCGACCTGAGGAAGGACAACGAGACTCAAACGTCTGTGGTAATCCCCAGGAACGGCCAGTATGAGTAGTAGCTGAACGGGGCATACTTGGAAAGGATGGTTAAGTGATTCCTTGGAGCCCCAAAACAGGGAGTCTTGAATAGCAGTCACAAGTGTTGAAGGTTAATTTGGGAGCCATCAAAGACACTGAGCAGGATGATCTCTGCTCCCCAATGAAAGACAACTCCAAGTGGAGAGATGAATTGGAAAGGGAAAGCTGACAGCTGAGGTGAGGAGGATTAAGTGATGACTAGGACCTGATGGATAAGCAAAAGTGAGAAATCAACTACAGAAACTGAAACAATTCTGAGATGGAACATCACCACCACACTACGGAAGCAAAGCTTTGAAGCTTTGGACAACTGTCAAATCATTATTTGCAGACAACTTGACTCATTTAAATACTAAATTGGCAGTGCTAAAATAGAAATAAATTCTGGCAATGGCCTTCCTATGAGCCAGACCTAATCCAATAGCCTAAAGTGGCCAACACTATCCCATACAGAGTTAAATTCTATCCAAACTTTATATCCACTATAGGAGAAGTACTCCAGGCAGCATTCAGCATACATATAACAGTATAAACACATTTAGGGAAACTTTTCAAAACTACAGAAGTCAATGGGCCTAAGGAGTATGCTCACCCTTTATACTGCCATAGCAGTATTTCAACGGGCACTTTACATATTTCACAAATGTTGCTAAGCTTTAGTTTCTAAATTAAAATGTATCCTGAATCCCTCTGCAAATCTGGGTTTTAAAAATGATGCCTAGTTTGAGGGAATGTGCATTTAATTACGATATCCCTGGGAGCTGTGAATCTCTAGGAAATAGTCCAAAGATCTTTCTTAGTTTGATTCAAGTAATAAATATTCAAAAAGGGTGGGGTAAGTAGAACAACCAATGAGCCTTGAAGTGAACAATATGGGGCAAATTTTTGTTATTTAAATAACGATCTGCAGATGTAGGAATAAGAATTAGCAATAGTGGATTTCCTTTTCATCATCCAGAGAGTCTTAAAACTTATCTGCAGATTTAAATAAGAAACTTGCATGTGAGAAAATTAAACAGCATGTAAATGCTAAGGATCCCTATATTGCTTTTTAGGAGACACTCTCAAATTCACATTCACCAAAACAGAGAGAGCAAAGGCACAGAATTATTTCTCTCTAGATACAATTAATGAGGGAGTCATCCTTGTACTTACCTAAGATATTTTCATGCCTCAGCATCACAGTGTTGTACAATTCTGTTTCCCTGAACCATGACTTCTCATCACGGGAGGAGAAGATCTTCACAGCAACGTTTTCCCCTTGCCAACTGCCCCTCCACACTTCACCATACCTGCCTTTCCCTATGGAAAACAAAGCATAGGTGACACGGAACAGTAGGCGTTTCGTAGGTACCCAGCCTATCATTAAGAATAAGCCAATTAATTTAGTGCATGCAACTCTTACTCCCCTCCATTCCTTACTGAAGAAACTCAGCTTGGGAATATAAATAGCACAACCTTTAATTTTTAGTTTAGGTTTTTTTTTGGCCTATAAAGACATACAAAAATAAGGTGGAAGCTGCCCCTCTCATCTACCATATTGTGGTAACAAACTGCCTTCTGTATCTGCATTGTATAATTAGCTGCTAATTACTCAGTTTACATTTAAATTCCCCTGTTGAAAGGTATAAAATGCATATGATTTTTAAAACACATGAAAGTAAAACTTAGGAAATGGTGCAGATGATTAGATTTCAATTGTGTTCTGAAAGCCAAAAAAGTGTACATCAGTAAATTGAATTCCCTCCTTGGTTCCTTCCCTCCACACAGGATCAACATAGGCACTTTCTAAGCTGTCCAAATTGGTGAATTTAGATACGCATTTTTTCCACAAAGGAGATCAATTAAGTTTAAAATGTGTGTTCTAAGGATTAAAAAACAAAAACAAAACAAAACACAATGCTGTGACGCTGTGTAGGGGATCGACAAGCAGCCACTGCCATCCACAAAGATTTCTTGGCGGAAGATGTATTTCAAAAGAGGATTTGCAAAGTCTTAAATACACACATAATCCCAGGACAGTTCTGACTTCTTCTGACACGGGTCATGGGTATTTCTTTGTCAGACAGCTCCTGTGATGCTACCAGTGGTCTACACTGAAAAGGTCACTTGCAGAATACATTTTGGAAAATGTGGCAACGCTACCTGTGATCTCATCTGTTTGGTGCATGGCCCCCGTTGCAGCAGCAACACACTTGTCAGCTCGTCAACTATATGCTCCCTCTTCCATTCTTCTCTTTAATTATAGGTAGGGGTGATCAGGGAGGTTGGAGGAGGAGGTAACTACCACAAGACTATGAGGATCAACAAGGGGTATAATCAGCCTAGATAACAAAGCAAGACATACAACTTGCAGGGGAGTGGGGCTTTCTACCCAGGCAAGTGGCTGCTGGAATCACATGGCTTCTACTTAGCAGCTGCAGCACCACCTGCAGCTACAGGAATACAGTTCTTTGCTGGAACACTAAGCCACGGAAAACCCAAACATGGAGAAAGAAGCAGGTCTGTCCAGGAAACACACCTGAATCATAACCACAACCACTAAATCTAGACTACGGGACAAGAAAATAATGTCCCTATTAAATACCAACAACTAACCCAAAAGGATGTTGAATGTGGCTAACAAGTGCTCCTTGTGGGCCACTGTTAGGTCACACAAATATAATTTAGTACAGGATTCCTTTTAATAAAGTCATAGCAATTTGCCCGGCATTTACAGCTCAAGGTGAGGGCTAGTGCTAAAATACTACAAATACTGGCTGCCAGAAAATGATATGCTCATCTTTTCCTGCTTTTGGTTCTATTTTATATCTTTATTTTCTCTTTGCCCTCATTTTCTCATTAGGAATGAGAGCAAAATAACCCAGGGAATTATGGACATAAAATTACATCAAATCCTTTTTGTTGCTGTTGTTTTAAAGAAAGCAGGAGATGCTGAGGTAGGTAAATTGAAATAGAAATATTTTTCAATAGTTTTTAAATGCTTTTAAGTTGTTCAATGCTTTCTGCAAATGCATCATGATGCAGAAGCCCCTAAAACAAAAGCAGAGCTGCCCAAAAGCCCTGGTCATGGAGCCCCACAAAAGGCTCCCGTAAGGCACCTGAAATTTGTAGTTTCAGTGATCATCATCCAGAATTGACTCCCCTAACCCAACTTCCCATGTTTTCGAACCAAAAATGGTAACATAGCATCCATGCAGTTTATCATATATATTTTTACTAAAAGCTGAACCATATGAACAAACTACAAGCTACTGAAAGGCATTCCTTTCAGTAAAATCTTTAGTCCTAACCCAAGAAAATGCAATAATTATATTTATACTGTTTCAAAAAAATGCTGAAGAATATCTACGAACCAGAAAGGTGGTTCTATATTTTAAAGGTACACTATTATTTGCTCTTTGGACTCTGGAGCCAATCTCTGAAGATTAATCTTGAGATAGCAGGCACGAGGTAGGAGAAGAGACAGGAGGTGAGACAGGGAAACGGATCCCCTCAATGTCTTCCCACCACTACCCAGATAATCTTGTTCATAATCAAATAAGATACTAGTTGATACAAGAGGACAACTCTGATTAAAATTAATGAGCACATTTGGGGCTTTTCCATCTTTCTCTATTCACAATCTGCTGTGGAGGAGAAGCGAGAAGGGGGAAACAGTGGCAATAGTTGTAGACCTAGAGAAAGAACAACCAAGCTCCTGCTGGCTATTCCTGTGCCTTGGGGTGGCAGCCACTGCTCTTCCTACCTCTGCCCATCCCCCTTTCTACTTCTCAGCTTGGGGTGTCCCTCCTTCCATGAAAAAAAGAAAAAATCTGGAGAACAGCAGCCAAGTGGTAGGGGCCGCTTATGGGTCACCTCCCAAAAACAAAAGATGCAATGGCAGGAGCTGCAACGTCCATCCCTTAGAAATCAGGAGTGCTAGGAGGAAGGTGTAGAGACGCTGCCAACCCATTATTACTACTGCAGCCATCCTTGCAAGTCATCTTAAAGAGAAACTTAGGAAAATGGTTATGGAACTTGCAAATACCTGCCACATAAAAGTAAAGCTAACAAAAATCAGGGAATAGGCACTTTGTACCATCTTCCTAGAGAGCTAATCAGCAGCATATGAAACAAGCTATAAAAAAATTTCACAAATTTTGATCCAGGAACCCCCAATTCCTGGAAATTTTTTCTGAGAACTCAAAAGAAAGAAGCAATGTGTGCAAAGTCTTTCTCAAGCAGTATGGTTATCGTTACACTACCATGCCATGGACTGCTCCATAATCTTTAAAAATATGTGTAATGTGCACAAACACACGAAATTGTTCATGAGCTGAAAACTGAAAGAAAGGACGCAAGTTTATATCCAATATCTATGGTAAGGACATAAATTTATACCCAATATCTATGGTAGGGAGCAACCATATCAATTCATTTTTTTAGAAGAGAACAACTGTAGTTGAAATTAATGGGCACATTTGGGGCTTTTTTATAATGAATTAATTCATTTTTTAGAATGAATTGATATGGTTGCTCCTTACTATAGGTATTTTAGAGCAATCGTATGAAATCATTCTCTCATCCTCCCAAAGGGTCTACTTGCACTGAAAGCTTTTGACTAGGCATTCTCTGTACTAATTAGTGACAGACTCCTTTGATAAGAGCTTCAACAAGCTCAGGTGCTCCAGCGTGAGTCAGACAGGATAGTGACCACATCTCCTAAGTTTAATAAGAAAATAACAGGCAACAAAAAGCAGATTTTCCAAGTTCCATCTTACTTTGAAAACCACGACACTGCATATTACCCACAAAGAAAGGAAAAAAAAGAATTACCAACACACTCCAACAGTGTAATCTGGCGAGCCACTGTTCTTTGTACCAGAAAGGGAAGACCAGAGCCACTTCCTGATGTACACGAATGATCCAATAAATCCTGTAGTTTAAGACAAGGGGGAAAAGAAACTATTGAGCAATACAGCCCCCACTTTGGAGTACTAGCATGCATGGCATTGTAACTCACATGAAGGGCAGCAACCCGGGACGCATGGCCTGTTAGTGTGCATGTAAAGCTCCTCTGGAAGAAGGAAGAAGGACTGGTTTTATTTCTTTAGAATACTAGAAGCTAGCACCTTACCTAATATATGGTAAGTTTTCCTGAAGGAGAAGTAGTCCTTTCCTATATTCAGAGTTTCAAAATAAAAGAAGCTGAGCAGACAAAGTTGAAGGTATAAATCAGAAAGTCCAAGAAGCAGAGCCGAGCACAAGGAAACAGTAGAGAGAATAGCAGGTGGAACAGAAAGGGGGGGACGTCCTTTCAACTTCAAGAACTGGGTGTAATTTACCATATTCTGCTATGCTTACTAAGTATCTGTCAAATGATTCACTTTAGTTGCCATACCAACTAAGGAACTCTAATTAGGAACAAACAAACTAGAAATAAGGAACACACAACTCTAATGTGGTTTGTAACAAAAGACTCCAATGACCATGTGGATCATTAAATTGGTAGGCTCAGGCAGAAACGGGCTGCCTGGATGGAGGTTTCCTTTTAGGCAGGTGAGAAGCAAAATTATATTAACACCTACTTGTCATTTCTTAATATGAATCACTCACAAATCAGAGAAGGAAACAAATAAAGCCTTCATTGAAACATAAAACCAGTGCCCCAAGTTAACGTCTACAAAAGAAGGTGTTGGCAAAAAGATTCCCAGTTAGTTCATTGATAAAGTTTTCCTTCTTACTCTCAGCATAAGTCAAGAACCAGAATGTCTTTTGGTATCAGGAATAGGTTATCAATAATAAACAATACTGTGTCCATGGATGACAGAGGTAGGATTGCAGTAATATTCAGTTAATATTCATCAAAGCTTATCCTTTCCCAAACATTTGGCTGGCCTACTAAAGCAATACATTGATTTGTGTGAATTTCATCTTCTTTCACTTCCTCTGAGCACCACTGTGAAGTACTGTTGATCGGCAAAATTACCAAAAGCTGAACATCCAACGGAAGAAATTTAGAACCCTTAAAAACCACAAAAGGGATAATCAACAAGAAAATGAGTGTAGATGAAGCAGAGTTTCATATCTCCCTAACCATCTTCTCTCTTGCGGTTCTTTTTTCTCCTTATTCATTCAGTTTTTTTTCAAGAAGAATAATTCTGAAAATTAAACTAATGTTTTGTTTTTTCATAATGTATAAACCTGCTTCTAAATGCAGTTCATAGACCTAAGGAAGGAAAAAAAAAAACCATCAACCCAAGACTAATAAGCATATATCTCAACTGCCAGATACCAAGCCTTCTTTTTGTTCTTTTCTTTTTTTAAATTAAAGACAACGTCTCACAATATTACCCAGGCTGGTCTCGAACTCCTGGCCTCAAGTGATCTTCCCCCTTGGCCTCCCAAAGTGCTGGGACTATAGGTGTGAGCCACTATGCATGGCCAAGGCTTGTTTGTCAATGTAGATGTGCAGTTTAGTAAGGGTATGTTTTGTTGAAACATACAAATGAGCATATTGCTTAAATAAGCAAGTATGCAGACCAACAATGACAACTTGTTTTAAATAGTGTTCTTTACTGTGTTATTATATCATGATATACTGTCATATGACATGGTTGAGTTTAAAAGACTATTTTGGCATATGCTCTATTCCTCTTTCAAAATTCTAAAAGCTATTTAAATGGTAATTTGTATCAAATATTCCTATTATTGCCCTGGGTAATTAGTTACGTTAGCAGCTCTGAAGAATGAAGTTCTAACAAACTTATTTTAGAATCTTGCTTTGCTAAAGCTTTGTCAGGATTCATCCTCACATCTTCTTGCTACTAACTCAATAAACTCATTTAATTTTCCTTAAAGCTTGAAATAGACTTCTAAGTATATATCTAACAAAAAAATTGTATTTCTCTACTTTTTGAAATGAAATGTCCTTATACTGCATTCGCTTTCCCCAGTTCCACTATACCACAGTTTAAACAGTAGGTAAGTGGAAGCTACAGAAGGTTACGTCCCCCTTTTACATACCAAAAAGTGGCCCAGTGATGGGGCAGGCAGTAGAATGGGATGTTTCCCAGTCCATATCAGGCACCACCAAATGTTGTGACAGCTTGTCACAGGTGGATCCTGCAATTGTCCAGGTGTAGCATCTGAGCTACCCAGACGGCCACTGGTGAGGGGAAGTCTTCTCCAGCATAAGGGAAGCTGCAGGGCAAGTGTAACTATAGAACTATTTGGCACTTTGAAACTTGTTTTATAGCAGAATAAGTCTTACTGCGAAATGATTTCAAATACACATGGGCAACGGCATTAAGTAACAGTGAATCACATTAGAAAGTTATTACTTTGATTGCCTTTCAATTCATCAGATTGTCACAAGGAGAGAGTCTCAAATTGGTATTAGCATGACTCTTACACTCGCTTAACACTCATAAATCTCAAATTATTCTCAGAGTAAGCATCAGACTCAGTATAACATCCACGCAGAATGTTATTATTTTTTTCTTTTGCACTTTATGATAACCTTCTATTTACAGCAAGTGATATCCCTTCCCCATTTAAAGTTCAAAGTTTCTTTAAAATGAACACTTGGTAAGCAATTTTAAAAGGTAAATAAAAGGAGAAAGTCACTTTTTAATGTGAATTAATCATTTAAAAATACGCAAAAGAATTTAATGTATAAATACAATAGTTTCTAACACTGTGCAATCCAATGGGTTAGTGACTAGACACATGTTGCCATGAACAAGTAAACTGTGGCCAGTGTGAACTGAAATATGCTATAGGTGTAAAATACACAAGATTCTGAAAACTTACTTCAAAAGCAAAAAGAATGTAAAATGTACATTAATAATTTTTTAATCAGTTATACGTTGAAATGACAAAAATGAGATGCATTTGGTTAAATATTTGTTAAAATTAATTCTACTTTTAAGAAACTTTTGGAGTTTTTTCATTTGTTTGTTTTTAAGGTGGCTACTTGAAAATTTAAAATTACATATGTGATGCACACGTTTCTATTGGACAACAAGGGTTTAACCAAATGACTGCACTCCACAAGGGGGCACCACAGGAGCATACAAAATTTAAAAGCTTCTTTTTTGGATGTCAAGTTTTTAAGCCTTAAATTACAGGGTGCTGAAATAATCTAGAAAGGAAATTCATCTTTAATAGTAAGCAAAAGGTGCCTTTTTAAAAGAGCACTTTCGTGGCTAAAAATAGAGTAGCTGAAGACCACAAATTCCAACTCTCCAAAATTGCAGGCAACCATTCTCCTGTCTCTTTTGCTTTACTCTTCAAAGAAAAGTAACTAACTACCAACACTACTAAAATAAATCCCATCCCTTATTTAAATGTCTGTCTAAAATGGCTGTTCTGATATGGGAAGACTACACAGGTGCCAGCATGTGCTTGTTTAGGACATAAGTAACCAACAGCATGTGTGTACGCTGTTCAGTCACTCATTACTGGTTAGCGTTTCATGCTGAAATAAGAATGTGTCTCCAGACATCTTCCTTATGCTTGGGATTCCCTGTGGGGTCATGACTTACTGCCAAAGTGCTGTCTCCAACATTGGTGGTGATAAGCCCTTCAATGGTGCCATACTCCACGTCTCGGGGATTGAGACGTTCTTGGTTGCGCCTTTTAAATTTTCGGAAAGCCACTCCCAGCAAGCAGGCTAAAAGACATACTGCGAACACTACAGAGAGAATAATGAGGCCGATCTCCAAGTGGAAATTCTGTGTTCCAGGGAAGGATTTTCCTGCAGTTGGGGGGAAAAGGGGGAACTGGTTGTAAGGATCACTGCTTACTTATTATTACTTACTATCCTAACGAGTAGCTCCTGATCCCAACCACACAGTGTCAAAACTCACGAAGTATTAAAACTAAAACACTTCCTAATACCTGCCCAATGGTGCAGCCATTTTAACCATCATTCAATTAGACACAACTAGAATTTTTTTAAATTCCACTGAGAATCAATTGTATTAATACATGAATCTGAAAGTGCTTTTAAAATATCAAGTACTGTACAAATCTTTGATATTAGTCTTAGCAACCTGGATTTGGTATGTTTCACCATCAAGCCCTTACAGATACTACACTGATATCCTTAGGAGAAAGGGCTATCTGAGCTAAAACTAAATTACCCATCTGTGGTCTCTGTCTTCAGTATATCCTGGGTGTCTACTGCTGATCTCTCATTGATTTTTTTTACATCACAATTTCTGCCTAGGAACCTATTCATTCCTCTCTTCATTTACTGACTTATTCAGACATTCATTCACTGATTCACTCCCTGGGTTCAGGCCTCTTCATAACATTATGTCGTCAGGCCCTTTTCTTCCCTACATATGCCTTACTCATTTCCATGTTACTGGTCTCTTCAGTCACCCAATCACAAGCCAAAATTCCTGTAAGTATTTCTTTAACTTTCCAAGCCCAACTAATCAACAGCTTGGCATATATCATACTCGATGGCATATGTCATTTTTATGAGAAAGTGAAAAACTAACAAAATGCAACATTGAATTATAAATACTGTGGCCTCCCTAATCAAATGAGAATGTCTTTAAATTAAAAAATCGGCCAGGTGCAGTGGCTTAAGCCTGCAATCCCAGCACTTTGGGAGACCGAGGCGGGCGGATCACCTGAGGTTGGGAGTTCAAGACCAGCATGACCAACATGGAGAAACTCCATCTCTACTAAAAATACAAAATTAGCCAGGCATGGTGGCGCGAGCCTATAATCCCAGCTACTAGGGAGGCTGACGCAGGAGAATCACTTGAACCAGGGAGGTAGGGACTGCAGTGAGCCGAGATCATGCCATTGGACTCCATGGAGCCTGGGCACAAGAGTGAAACTCCATCTCAAAAAAAAAAAAAAAATCTGCTATTAAAACTCAAGGTCTAGCAGAGTGATCTGCAGATTAGAAACTTCACAATGTTGGTATAATAATTTTTGTATGAATTCAGACATTTCTTCATGTCTATCCACTCAATTAATAAAAATTTAACTCACAAACAGTAAATTTTATTCCATCAAGGACGCTTTTAGTTTTAACCATGTAAATACTTGATCTATTTTACACTTGATCTTAGCTAAAAGGCCAAGAAGCAATACTTGATCTATTTTAAAATCCTTTTTTTTTTATTATTCAATCCTATTTGCTTGTCAAAATTTAACCTTTTCTATATGCCTTCAAGTCATCACCATAACTTCAAAATTACTAGAACATGATCCTGCATCAGCTTTTTTGTTCTTCTGTCTCCTTCCTTGCTGGCTGACATTTCTGGTTTGGATGCTGCTTGTTACCACTCCTCCACTTTTTGGTTTGTTTCTTTTTTCCGAGTACAAAATTAAATAATTAAACCTATTAAAAATGTACTATATGGTAAGAGAATAAATTTGGCTTAGAATGAGTCTACATTAATAGTTGCAGACTATTTATGCAATTTAGGGCTCATTTAACAGGGAAACAGTTTCAAAGGAGGATTGGTTTCCATATACATATACAATCTGTATTGAATATGGTGGAGAGAAGATTCCACATAAACTACAGGGTTTGTGTGAAATCTCATCCTGCTTCTAGTGTCAGTGATAGGTCACTGGGCATCAGATATGGGAGAAGAGGTCAGTGAGCCTTCTTTTGTCTCCTTCCTCATAAAACAGGAAAGGCATTCCACTCAGTCATCAGTCCGTTCCACTTTCTCCCTACACACCTGACATAGAGATGAGTATGTGCGAGCAGAATTGTTTCAAAAATTATGAATAACATCATGGCTTCGTAACATAAAAAGGTACTGGGAGCTGTTCACCTGAGTCACAGCAACCAAGAGAGAGCTAACTGGTCAGCCAAGCTGTCCCGAAGATGGACGTCACCTTGTTTACATTCCCCAAAATGCCCATCCTTCTTTTAGATGCCAAAAGGCTGGTGGTCCTTTCTCTTCTTCACCCAAGGCTACCTTCCTTGTAGCTCTTCGCCTCTGGCTCGAAATGTAGGTGGAATGCCTCGTAGCTACTTAGATCTTTAACCCACACAGACTCAGGAGAACACTAACAAAACCCCTTGATCTCAAAATAGAAAAGTCCACAAGAACCTTTCGTGGGCAGCTGTGCCGTGATGTTCCTGTTACACCAGTCCCCTTGGCAGCACTCCACCGCTTGTCCAGGGGACGGTGGGGTCTTACAGGTCATCTTTCCCTGCTCATAAACCTGGAAGCAGCCTTTCTGGTAGACGTGGAAGCCATCGTTGATGCTCAGTGAGGAAAAGCACTGCTGGCCTTCACAGTGGTCCTCATTACCACAGGAGAGGCCTTCACACACACACATGTAGAGTTTGGGGTTGACCTTGGGCATCTCATCTGCAAAGGAGAGAAAGGTAGGGGAAACAAGAATTACTGCATGAGTTTCACCTTCATTGAGAGAATGATCATTCCAAACACCTCTATCAAACAGAAAGTCAAGCTAAGCATCATCACTGACCAAGAGGTCCACATTCTGTGATTGTCGCTTAACCAACCAACAAATAATACTTGCCTCTCAATGTAGCAATTCATTTATATAAGTTGTGTACCCTTTTAGATCATATTAAGACAAAGATTGGCTATCACCTGCTCATAGACTTCTGAAAATGAGCTTCTCCCCCTATGGTGTTCATATAACCTTCCGCTTGATTGGCTCTCAGATCCCAATTACTGCATCAAAATAAAATGTTTTACTGGAACATAATATTTATCACCTTTATTCTATTCCAAAAAAAAACACTCCTAAATATATGGCAGCTATTAATACCAATTCTTGCTAGCTCTGTACAAATCCCCACCAACTAGTAAAACAAGGAATGCTGACATTCTTGAAGCCACATGACAGAAATCTACGACAAGCTGAGTATCCCTTACTCAAGATGTTTAGGACTAGAAATGTTTTCCATTTAAAATCTTTCTGGATTAGAGAATATTTGTATTTATACCGGCTGAGCACCTCATTTCCAAAACTCCAAAATTCAAAACGCTCCAATGAGCATTTCTATTGAGCATTGGGTCAATGCTCAAAGGGTCTGGATTTTGGAGCAGTTCAAACGTCAGATTTTGGGATCCAGGATGTTCAACGTATAATATAGTAAGAGTTTGTGCTGTGCACAGTGGCTCACGCCTGCGATCCCAGCACTTTGGGAGGCCGGGGGGGGCAGATCACGAAGTCAGGAGTTCAAGTCCAGCCTGACCCACATGGTAAAACCCCATCTCTATTAAAAATACAAAAACTAGCTGGGTGCGGTGGTGCGTGCCTATAAGCCCAGCTATTCAGGAGGCCAACGCAGGAGAATCACTTGAACTCATGAGGTAGAGGTTTTGGTGAGCCAAGATCACGCCACTGCACTCCAGCCTGGGCTACAGAGCAAGACTGTCTTAAAAAAAAAAAAAAAAAAAAAGAGTTTGCAAGAATTCACAATCTATAATTACAATCCATGGTACCAGTATTTCCAGCTAGATGCCTAGACTAACTTTTTCAATAGTGGCAACACTGAAGTTTACATAGATGATAGTGGAAATTAATAGCTGCTTCAGAGTTTTTGACTAGCAGGAACAAAAAAACTGGTGCCAAATATGGAGAACAAGGGTACAAGGAGACAAAGAGAATTGAACAATGTTTGAAAAATAAGGTGACAAGCAGGACCACAGGAAGAATCCACACCTGGTGCACTCAAGGTGCAGTGGCAAGAGCAGCAGAAATGGATGAAGAGGGAAGCACACCTAATCACTCCACTCAATTGTCTCTTTCTGAGAATAGGAATTTGCAGTTTCATTTTCACGTTACTCTTTCCTCTTCCCTTGTCAGAATGATTAGTTTAGATTTGCTGGTCTCACAGTTTCTACTAGTGGGGAAGGAAAGTGTGGATAAAATGTAAACAGCCAAGTCCTAGAGGCCACTGATTAGTTAGTTGAGGCCACTTTTGTCGAAGCACTGTTCATATAAGGAAACTCAGCTTTCAGAGCTCCCTTCAAAGGTCTATGGCATATAGAAGCTGCCTTAATCCCTGAACCCTCAGTAGTGAGTCTGTGAGATAAATGCTTCTTTCTTAAAATAACAGGTCGGGTGGCTGTGCTTTCCAGAGGAGACGTTAAGGTAAGGTCTTTGAAAATGTCAAGTTCATTTACACAGATTTGTGTGGGTGTGTGTAGAGATGTGGGTTATCTCAAAAAGAGAAAAGCATTCTTAATCTTTCTTCTTCCCTCTTCAAAGAAGTGGAAAAATAGTTCACTGCCCACTATAATGTGGGTGCCTCGGCCCACAGAGTAAGTGCATGCAGACACACAGACACAGCCTTCTATTTATAATTGACTTGCCAGTTCTTTTGAAAACCACAAGGGGCTCATCTAAGAGCAAAGACATGCCTGAAAGCAGAAAATCCAAAATAGCCGCTGACAGTCTATGTATGTCACCAGTCTCACCCCTGAGAATCAAGAGCCCTCAAACATTTTTAATGAGCAAAAGTTTTAATGAGCAAAGAGATAGTCTTTATGTTCTTTGCTTGGAGAAATCCGAAGGAAATTCCAGCAACAATCTATTTCTATGAGGATGAGAAACATATATATCTGTTGACATAATCCAGCAAAAAGTTTACACTTGCCAAAAGAGAGCTGAAAGATAATATTTCCAGGGAGTCTAGACATGCTTGCCACTCTTGAATGGCACAAAGCACGCTGAGGGCTGCCAACTATGCTGCCCAACAGGTGATGATTCTTTGGAGGGAAGTGGATGGGTGGGGTGACAGGGAGAGTTCATGGTGTCAGACTAATTCACTTGTGATCTACAGCAGGGAACTGAAAAGACTACGCTAAAAACTGAAATAATGCAATTTATGTAAATTTGAAACACAAATACAGATTTTAAAATCCTGAGTATTTTTCAAAGATCATAGATACCCCAGGACAGATACCTAACCCATTTAAGAGTATGTGCCTGTGGACGCTGGTCTGGGGAGTAAGGCGTTAGTGCTGGGATGGAGCAAAATAAAAATAAAGTAGGAGAGAGCTGTTCATGGACTGATAATGAATTGACGAGTATGATTTACTCAGCCCGCTGCACGTATGGGCTGCTAAGAATAACAATAAACCAGCAACCCTAGACTAGAGAGAGCCCGCTCAGTGGTCCTCCAGAAATGGACAGTCCAGGGAACCAAAGGATTAAGGACACCTGTGGTTGTAATTTAAAAATGCCAAATTTTAAAAAAATAAAGTAACAACAACAATCATTTCTCTAATGTGCTCTCAAAATTAACTCTGTTTTTAAAGTTCCATCCCAAACTAAACTCCAAGTCCACAGATGCAGGAAGAGGCACTGCTTTTCCAGGGTCTCTAGTTTTTGACAGGCTATGCAGGCGGCCTGACAAACGTTTGGACTATAACCTAAAGCGTTTTGCCTGACGTGACAGCCTCGAGTAAATATCCCCGTCAGTAAAATTCAACTCATTATACCTAACTCTGTGGGGTACCTAGGCTTTAATCCTTCAGGGTCGCAAACTAAGTCAAAGGGATTCATTTGGTTATTAAGCACTCTACTTAAACTCTTTCTATACTTCCTGTAGTTGTATGTAGACAACCAGGAGTTAATTACCTGTAAGTTGGTGATTCTTTTCAGTAAGATGTCAAATACCAGGGTTTTCATCTACCCTACCCTCCACAGTCGAGAAAAAGGCAAGGAAAGACAACATTGGTTAATGATATGTAATAATTAACTTAATCTCTGATATGAAAGAACCGTGAGCTGAGTCCGATAGTTAGCTAACGGGGAAGTACAAAACCTTCACTAACTTCTCTTTCCTATTTTGTTCCTCATCTACCGTTCAATCTTCTTACTTTGTATATTCCCATATGATTAATTAGAAAAGTCCTTCATGTATTTATTTTTTATATATACCCAAATATAAATGAAGACCCTAAATTCCTAAGAATGACAGAATGACCACACAAGTGCACGCACATGCATGCACACACTCACATTCGCTACATGCCACTTTGGCAATTTCATCTGACAGAGTGGAGTAGATGGAAGGATTTTCTGAACTAGAATTACTAAGTTAACAAGGTTAAAAGCAAGGTAGTCATGGCATTCTCAGATCTTAATATCCGTATTTCTAAAGAAGACAGCAGGACTCAAAATGCCCATGACTCACTTTTTTAGTCTTGTCAAATTTAGGAATAAGCATGACATGTGTGGGCCTGTGATATTTTATTTGGTGTGGGAGTGGGGGTGGGGTTCAAGAATGATCCCAAAACCACTCTCAGGGCCACAGGTATGGGTGTGTAGATTCCTAATCTTTCAGACTGTGATATAAATACAGCAGACATCAAGAAACACTAAGGAACAGATAATCACATTTCTGTGACTGATTTTCAACAGTCCTGACAGGAAGCGCCATATCTGATGTAAAGTATTTTACACTTGCCTGTGCGAATATCCAGGAAGTGCCCTGGCAGAAGGCAGAAAGTCTACTCTACCAAATTGACATTCATTTGAATAATTCAGTAATTTAAATGTCAAGCCAGAGGTATTCCCTCTCTGCAGAGCTCACCCACATTGTTTGTTCTAGAAGGCACCTCCCGGCATTACTCAGTGTTATGGCTGGCACTGTGTGCCCTTTGTATCACCAGAGCCAGAGCCGTGTGAAAACACTCACAGCCTGGGCTGGCTGGAAACAGCAGGGAATTCTGACCACAAACAGAGACTGCCTCGGTGCCACCAGGGAGAATACGAGGCTGGCTCTGCAAACCAGCAGTGCAGGCTGGGAATCCCAGGAGTTCACCATGGCCATCTCGTTAAAAAGATTTTTCCTGCTCTGAACAATACTCAGTTCACCATCTGGGCACACCTCCTCCAAGTCTAATGCCAGACTGGCCGACGGGGCAGCAGAACAAAGAGCATCGTGGACTTTTAGACACTGTCCACAGTTTGGTATCATCTTGTATTTCACGGTAAAAGTATTCACATTTCTGTTTCAGTGGGACTTTAGCAATCACAACCCTATGGATTTACCTATTCACGCCTGCCCAGTTATGCACTCTGCAATGCTTTAAGGCACTGAAACTGAGTCTCTAAACGGTGCACAAAAACCAACATGTCCCACTAATGTCTTTGACATAAAAGACAAATAAGAAAATGGTACAAGTAAACCGGCCCAGGGCCATGATCTGTCCTACAGGACAGCTAAAGGGAACAGGCTGAATTTTTTACAAGTTCACCTCTCAAAGTAGTACACATCATAATGCAGAAATTAGACTGTAATTATAAAAGTCCAATAGCTCAGAATTTGTAGAGCTAAAAAAGGAACTCAAGTATCCCTGGACTCCTTCCAATAACTCTA